ACTTACCAAAGGGGGGGGGGTGTTGAAGGACACCCTTTACCACTAATGGCTGACTTTAATCTTTCTGGCTGCACCTACGCATCGACCGAGGGCCCTCCAGAGCGCACCCCTGTGCCGAGCCCTCTAAAATTCGCTCCCGCGCCAGTCTACAGCCTACATCATCCAAAATTTCTGGTTTCTTCTCTATTAAAGGATCTTCTGCTGGTCGCGTGCATCTTTGGGATGCCCAATGCGGCTATGCCTCCTCCTCAGCCTTCTCTTGTGCACTCTGTGTGAACCTGGTTAAAGTTCCTTTAACACACTTTCTGACACAGGTACCAACTGGACTCACACGAGAATGTGGCACTCTAACTCTGACATCTCTCACATGATACTGATACAAAAATTCACCATTTGTAATTCTGTAATTTCTGTTACTCGCCACAGAGAAACGCTTTTCCTCTACATTTGGGTCGCTGTTTAACTTGGGCTTCTCATCAGCCAACTCCATCAGGTTTGCCACTGTCAGACGTCACATCACCAAGCGTAATAGGGAAGAACCTTTCCCCCGACAGCACGTCCTACATGGTCCACACTGGTCAGGTTTCTCTAGATTACTTGGATCCAGATAGACACAGGTCTGTTGTAGAGTTCCCTCCTTTCTATGACACAGGGTATCTGCAGGTTTAAGAGAGCCAAATTGAAGACTTTTTAAGACCTTTTTTAAGGCCACTTTGACCAAATTTAAGACCTTACATTCAAGACTAAAAAATGAAATGTGACGAGTACGACCTTACAAATAGTTCTGGCCAAACCTTTATTGGAACTGAAAGTGATGAAAAATAACACAAACATCAAGATAAGAGAATCTGTGCATATATTTTCCAAAAGCAAAATGCAGTACTAACAACTCTGACATGGTGGCACGGCCGCAGTAGTGGAATTGCTCTGATTGACTACAACGGGACCGATTTTGCTCCGGCGTTCGTGTCGGAGCGGAGGTAGTGGAATTTGGGGGTAACTCCGTCTTCCTCTGCTGAGTCCTCAGGGCCTCTAAGATTGACCAACAACTCGTGGTTTTTGCCGTGACCCCGTGACCTTGGAAGGGGGGGGGGGGGTTGTAACATTCAAAAGGGTGAATTTTTCACCATCTACATTGACCAACATAAGAACCTTTGATCTACAGAAATAAATCCACTTTTTATTTGGCCTTCCAGACCCAGAAGGTCCTGCTCAGTGCTTGCTGACATACATGAAGTCATAATAAACTGTCATGGTCCCCGGCACTCTCTGTGTAGAAGCCAGACAGCATTCTTCTCTCTGAAGAAAGTGAAGCTTGCCTGACTTTACAGTTATAAGTTAAATAATCATGTGATGAATGAACAAGATGTTTCAAAGAAATGTTTGAATAACCTGTGCTTAAACCAATGATGGCTTTAAAATGAATATTGTTTTTACAACGATCCATTTATATCACACATCAGTATGTGTTGATGTAACAGGTTAATCATTGTTTACACTGACTCACACACATACCATACCATAGTTTATTTATATAGCACGTTTAAAACGCAGCATGGGAGCTGCCCAAAGTGCACAGGCTAAAACAAAACGTGACCATTCTAAGGAACTAAAACAGAAGATAAAAATAGCAGTCAAAGCAGATAAAACATGATGAATACTAAGAACACATTAAAACAATGACACAAACACTAAAATGAGTCACTGTCTTAAAGCCAAATCGTAAAAGTGGGTCTTTAAACGAGATTTAAAAACCGCCAGTGATGGAGCCTGCCGAACTCCAATGAGCAACGAGTTCCACAGCTTTGGGGCAGCATGCACAAATGCTTGTTCACCCCGCGATCTGTATCGCATCCACGGCGTGCACAGCAGCAAAAGGTCAGCCGACCTCAACGTGCGCGTGGGTACAAATGGAGTAAGCAGGTCAGAGAGATAGGGAGGTGCCAGGTCGTTGAGAGCTTTAAATACCAAAGTCAATAACTTAAACTGTACTCTGAAAATGACAGGGAGCCAGTGAAGACGTACCAGGCCTGGGGTAATACGGCAACGTCGGTGTGTATTCGTCAAGAACCTGGCAGCAGCGTTCTGGACGACCTGCAGCCGATTCAGGGCAGAGACCGGAACACCAACGAGGAGTGCGTTTGCGTAGTCAAGGCGAGAGGTAATGAAGGCATGGATGACTGACTCCAAATGCCTCCGTTTCAGGCTTTATCTGAGGCGAGTCAGGCGGCGAAGCTGATAAAAGCAAGACCTCACTACGGAGTTTATCTGTGGGGCCATTGTGAGTTCAGCATCCAGCTTTACCCCGAGACTTGTCACACACTGTTTGGGGTTGAGGGTTAAAAGGTCACAAACAGGTTTTTCTGCTCTAGACTGGCGGTGTTTAGCTGTTTTCTGCTCTAGTCTGGCGGTGTTTAGCTGTTTTTCTGCTCTAGTCTGGAGGTGTTTAGCTGTTTTTCTGCTCTAGTCTGGCGGTGTTTAGCTGTTTTTCTGCTCTAGTCTGGAGGTGTTTAGCTGTTTTTCTGCTCTAGTCTGGAGGTGTTTAGCTGTTTTTCTGCTCTAGACTGGCGGTGTTTAGCTGTTTTTCTGCTCTAGTCTGGAGGTGTTTAGCTGTTTTTCTGCTCTAGACTGGCGGTGTTTAGCTGTTTTCTGCTCTAGTCTGGCGGTGTTTAGCTGTTTTTCTGCTCTAGTCTGGAGGTGTTTAGCTGTTTTTCTGCTCTAGTCTGGCGGTGTTTAGCTGTTTTTCTGCTCTAGTCTGGAGGTGTTTAGCTGTTTTTCTGCTCTAGTCTGGGGGTGTTTAGCTGTATTTCTGCTCTAGTCTGGCGGTGTTTAGCTGTTTTTCTGCTCTAGTCTGGGGGTGTTTAGCTGTTTTTCTGCTCTAGTCTGGAGGTGTTTAGCTGTATTTCTGCTCTAGTCTGGGGGTGTTTAGCTGTTTTTCTGCTCTAGTCTGGCGGTGTTTAGCTGTTTTTCTGCTCTAGTCTGGAGGTGTTTAGCTGTTTTTCTGCTCTAGTCTGGCGGTGTTTAGCTGTTTTTCTGCTCTAGTCTGGAGGTGTTTAGCTGTTTTTCTGCTCTAGTCTGGAGGTGTTTAGCTGTTTTTCTGCTCTAGTCTGGAGGTGTTTAGCTGTTTTTCTGCTCTAGTCTGGGGGTGTTTAGTTGTTTTTCTGCTCTAGTCTGGAGGTGTTTAGCTGTTTTTCTGCTCTAGTCTGGGGGTGTTTAGCTGTTTTTCTGCTCTAGTCTGGGGGTGTTTAGCTGTTTTTCTGCTCTAGTCTGGAGGTGTTTAGCTGTTTTTCTGCTCTAGTCTGGGGGTGTTTAGCTGTTTTTCTGCTCTAGTCTGGAGGTGTTTAGCTGTTTTTCTGCTCTAGTCTGGAGGTGTTTAGCTGTTTTTCTGCTCTAGTCTGGCGGTGTTTAGCTGTTTTTCTGCTCTAGTCTGGAGGTGTTTAGCTGTTTTTCTGCTCTAGTCTGGGGGTGTTTAGCTGTTTTTCTGCTCTAGTCTGGAGGTGTTTAGCTGTTTTTCTGCTCTAGTCTGGCGGTGTTTAGCTGTTTTTCTGCTCTAGTCTGGGGGTGTTTAGCTGTTTTTCTGCTCTAGTCTGGCGGTGTTTAGCTGTTATTCTGCTCTAGTCTGGCAGTGTTTAGCTGTATTTCTGCTCTAGTCTGGAGGTGTTTAGCTGTATTTCTGCTCTAGTCTGGAGGTGTTTAGCTGTTTTTCTGCTCTAGTCTGGGGGTGTTTAGCTGTTTTTCTGCTCTAGTCTGGGGGTGTTTAGCTGTTTTTCTGCTCTAGTCTGGCGGTGTTTAGCTGTTATTCTGCTCTAGTCTGGAGGTGTTTAGCTGTTTTTCTGCTCTAGTCTGGGGGTGTTTAGCTGTTTTTCTGCTCTAGTCTGGCGGTGTTTAGCTGTTATTCTGCTCTAGTCTGGCAGTGTTTAGCTGTATTTCTGCTCTAGTCTGGAGGTGTTTAGCTGTTTTTCTGCTCTAGTCTGGGGGTGTTTAGCTGTTTTTCTGCTCTAGTCTGGCGGTGTTTAGCTGTTATTCTGCTCTAGTCTGGCAGTGTTTAGCTGTTTTTCTGCTCTAGTCTGGAGGTGTTTAGCTGTTTTTCTGCTCTAGTCTGGCGGTGTTTAGCTGTTATTCTGCTCTAGTCTGACGGTGTTTAGCTGTATTTCTGCTCTAGTCTGGCGGTGTTTAGCTGTATTTCTGCTCTAGTCTGGCAGTGTTTAGCTGTATTTCTGCTCTAGTCTGGGGGTGTTTAGCTGTTTTTCTGCTCTAGTCTGGCGGTGTTTAGCTGTTATTCTGCTCTAGTCTGGCAGTGTTTAGCTGTATTTCTGCTCTAGTCTGGGGGTGTTTAGCTGTATTTCTGCTCTAGTCTCGTGGTGTTTAGCTGTATTTCTGCTCTAGTCTGGGGGTGTTTAGCTGTTTTTCTGCTCTAGTCTGGCGGTGTTTAGCTGTATTTCTGCTCTAGTCTGGCGGTGTTTAGCTGTTATTCTGCTCTAGTCTGGCAGTGTTTAGCTGTATTTCTGCTCTAGTCTGGGGGTGTTTAGCTGTATTTCTGCTCTAGTCTCGTGGTGTTTAGCTGTATTTCTGCTCTAGTCTGGGGGTGTTTAGCTGTTTTTCTGCTCTAGTCTGGCGGTGTTTAGCTGTATTTCTGCTATAGTCTGGCGGTGTTTAGCTGTTTTTCTGCTCAAGTCTGGAGGCGTTTTGCTGTTTTTCTGTACTATATCAGATAGTCTCTGTGTTAGCACACCACACAGCCGTTTTCCGGGTTTTAACCAGAATAAAGACATCTAGATCCGTTTTATGTTTTTTTACATGAAACGTTGGCTCATACCAGTCAGTCCAACCAAAACGGCAGCATTCATTTCTGTGTTCTCGGTTCTGCCTAAATTCAATTCAATTCAAATTAATTCAATTCAAAAATACTTTAATAATCCCAGAGGGAAACTGATTAACACCGACTTGGTACCAAAACAAGTGGTAGTCTCCGAGCTAAGCTAACGGGGAGAAGCTCCTACCTTCCGGTAAAAAGTGTCTTCAGACGGCAGGCATACACAGCTGGTGTGTGGGTCTTCAGAGCCACCGGGGAGCCCTCATGTGTTTAAGTCTAGTGCTAAAAGTAAAGTTAAATAAAGTCCGGGGGGATTTTAACGGGAACCGCTGAGTGTATCGGTGCAGCGGCTGCGGTGCACCGCCATCTTGTTTATGTGTGTGTGAAGGGTGTTACCGGCGCTGTGAGGACCTGTGTTCTGTTCTGCCGAGATTTGCGATGCTTTATCGCGGGAACTCACTCGGCCAATGTGAAGTGCCCTCTTCGTTTTGGTTCGTATCAAGTTTATGGAGTTTGACTTTTATTCTCTACGATATTTTTGTACTGTTTATTTTTTAATAAACAGAGTTTACCTGGAGCAAAATACTTTAGAATAAGAAGTTTATTTAATGTCGCACACAAATCACAGGGCACAATCCATATGGGCACAATCACAGGTCTTTGTCAGACACGTGACCTGCATGTCATCCCACCCCCTTGGCGCCATTTTGGGTGTATGACGCGTTGCTGGGGAAAGCCGCAGCAGACGTTGAAGCAGAACAAGAGTCAAAAAGATGGATAAAAAGAACAAGGATGAACACATCCCTTACAGGGATAAACTTCTGAAGGAGGTGTAGGCAAGGCAGCGTTGTTTATAAAGCACATTTCCTTCACAGAGGCAATTCAATGTGCCTTCCACTAGCAAGAACATTTAAATCAACGTGACAGAAAATGCAATTTAAAATGAAAAAGAAACAAAGTTAAAGGGTGAGCAGTTAAAATGCAGAAGGTGCAGCATAAGAACATTTATTCAAAGGCTGATGAAAACATGAAGATTTTTAATTCCATCCATCCATTTTCATCCGCTTATCCGGAGTCGGGTCGCGGGGGCAGTAGCCTAAGGCAAGAGGCCCAGACTTCCCTCTCCCCAACCACTTGGGCCAGCTCCTCTGGGAGAATCCCAAGGTGTTCCCTGGCCAGCCGTGAGACATAGTCCTTCCACCGCGTCCTCCACCTTTAGGTCTCCTCCCGGTTGGACGTGCCCAGAAAACCTTACCAGGGAGGCGTCCAGGAGGCATCCTGACCAGATGTCCGAGCCACCTCAACTGGCTTCTCTCGATGTGGAGAAGCAGCGGGCCTACTCCGAGCCCCTCCCGAATGACTGAGCTTCTCACCCTATCTCTAAGGGAGAGCCCAGCCACTCTTCGGAGAAAACTCATTTCAGCAACTTGTATCCGCAATCTCGTTCTTTCGGTCACTCCCCAAAGATCATGACCATAGGTGAAGGTAGGAATGTAGATCGACCGGTAAATCGAGAGCTTCGCCTTCTGACTTAGCTCTCTCTTCACCACGACAAACCGGTACAACGCCCGCATCACTGCAGATGCAGCACCAATTCGCCTATCGACCTCACGCTCCAGTTTTCCCTCACTGGTGAACAAGACCCCGAGATACTTAAACTCCTTCACTTGGGGCAGGACCTCATCCCTGACCTGGAGAAGACATTCTATCCTTTTCCGAATCAAGACCATGGTCTCAGATTTAGAGGAGTTGTTGAGATGTTCAATATTGTGAACTCATGAGCTAAGCTGTGTAATCTGGTGTTATTAAGCAGGTTGTGCTTTCAGTTGTTCACCACTAGGGGGGCACGCACACTGCGTCATTACGTAACAGTTGCTTGAGGAGAATGGAGTCTCCGGTGTGGATGTTAACGTGTGTGTCGCATGCTCTAATAAAAGACACAAGAAGAAAACACTTTTGATCCCATCTTTCTTTTCCTCGAGTTCATATGCGATTGATGCTGCAACGCTCAACAGAGCTGATTCTCATCCCAGCTGCTTCACACTCGGCTGCGAACCACTCCAGCGAAAGCTGAAGATCACGTTCTGATGAAGCCAACAGGACCACATCATCTGCAAAAAGCAGAGACCTGATCCTCAGGCCATCAAAACGGATGCCCTCCACACCTTGGCTGCATCTAGAAATCCTATCAATAAAGGTTATGAACAGAATCGGTGACAATGGGCAGCCTTGGCACAGTCCAACTCACTGGGAACGAGCCCGACTTACTGCCGGCAATGCGGAACAAGCTCTGACACCAGTCATACAGGGACCTAAGAGCCCATATCAGAGGGCCTGGTACCCCATACTCCTGGAGTACCCCCCACAGGGCCCTCGAGGGACGCGGTCAAACGCCTTCTCCAAATTCGCAAAACACATGTGGCTGGGCAAATTCCCACGCACCCTCCAGGATCCCCCTAAGGGTATAGAGCTGGTCCAGTGTTCCATGGCCAGGACGAAAACCCCATTGCTCCTCCTGAATCTGAGGTTCAACAATCCGATGGACCCTCCTCTCCAGAACCCCTGAATAGACCTTACCAGGAAGGCTCAGGAGTATGATCCCCCTGTAGTTGGAACACACCTGCGGTCCCCCTTTTTAAATAAGGGGACCACCACCCCAGTCTGCCAGTCCAGTGGGACTGCTCCCGATGTCCACGCAATATTGCAGAGCCACATCAGCCAACACAGCCCCACAACATCCAGAGCCTTAAGGAACTCTGGGTGGATCTCATCCACCCCCTGGAGCCTTGCCACAGAGGAGCTTTTTAACCACCTCAGTGACCTCAGCACCAGAGATTTGAGAGGCCAACCCAAAGTCCCTAGACTCTGCTTCCTCCCTGGAAGATGTGTTGGTGGGATTGAGGAGGTATTCGATTTATTCTGCCCACTGATCCACAACGTCCTGAGTAGAGGTCAGCAGCACACCGTCCACACTATAGATAGTGTTGGTAGCATACTGCTTTCTCCCCCTGAGGCGCCGGATGGTGGACCAGAATCTCCTCGAAGCCGACACGGAAGTCTTGCTCCTTGATCTCACCAAACTCCTCCCATGCCCGGGTTTTTTCATTGGCGACCACCCGAGCCGCATTCCGCTTGGACTGCCGGTACCTGTCAGCTGCCTCTGGAGTCCCACAGGCCAAAAAGACCTGACAGGACTCTTTCTTCAGCTTGGCAGCATTCATAACCGCCGGTGTCCACCAGCAGGTTTGGGGATTGCCACCACGACAGGCACCGACGATACTGCAACCACAGCTCCAGTCAGCCGCCTCAACAATGGAGGCACAGAACATTTTGGAAGTTCTGTCGGAGGTGGGAATTGAAGCTCCTTCTGACAGGAGACTCTGCCAGACGTTCCCAGCAGATCCTTGCGATACGTTTGGGCCTGCCTGGTCTGACCGGCATCCTCCTCCACCATCTGAGCGAACTCTCCACCAGGTAGTGGTCAGTTGATAGCTCCGCCCCTCTCTTCACCCGAGTGTCCAAGACATGCGGCCGCAGGTCAGATGAAACAACAACAAAGTCGATCATTGAGCTGCGGCCTAAGGTATCCTGGTTCCTGGTGCCAAGAGCACATATGGACACCTTTATGTCTGAACATGGTGTTCATTATGGACAATCCATGACTGGCACAGAAGTCCAGTTCAGATCAGGGGGGCCGTTCCTCCCAAACACACCTCTCCAGGACTCACTGTCATTAACCATGTGAGCTTTAAAGTCCCCCAGCAGAACGAGGGAGTCACCGGAAGGAGCACTTTCCAGCACCCTCTCCAAGGTCTCCAAAAAGGGTGGGTAGTCTTAACTGTAATTTGGTGCACAAGCAGAGACCACAGTCAGAACCCGTCCCCCCACATGTAGGCGGAGGGAGGCTACCCTCTCATTCACTGGGGCAAACCCCAACGTACAGGCACCAAGATGGGGGGCAACTAGTATGCCCACCCCTGCTCGGTGCCCCTCAGTGGGAGCAACTCCATAGTGGTAGAAAGTCCAACCCCTCTCAAGGAAACTGGTTCCAGAGCCAGAGCCATTCGTTGAGGTGAGTCCGACTATATCTAGTCGGAACCTCTCAACCTCACACACCAACTCAGGCTCCTTCCCCACCAGAGAGGTGACATTCCATGTGCCAAGAGCCAGCTTCTCTAGCCGAGGATCAGACCGCCAAGGTCCCCGCCCTTGACTACCACCCGTCACACACTGCACTCGACCCCTTTGGCCCCTCCCACGAGTGGTGAGCCCATGGGAAGGGGGACCCACTTTTCGTCTTCGGGCTGCTCTTTGTCTGATCCCTCACCTAGGACCTGTTTGTCATGGGTGACCCTGAAAGCCTCAGACAACTTAGCTCCTAGGATCATTGAGAGACTCAAACCCCTCCACCACGGTATGGTGGCAACCCGGGGAGAGGGAAGGTTTTTAATTGTGATTTAAAAGTTTCTAGAGTTGAGACATCTGAGGTCATGAGGAAGCTGGTTCCATCTGTGAGCAGCATAGTAGCTAAAGGCAGCGTCACCCTGTGTGGTTCTGATCGGGTTCTATCAGCTCACTGCTTCCAAAGGATCTCAGAGCGCTGCTGGGCATAGATACCTGAAGGAGATCTGACATGTATTCTGGCCCCATGCCATTGAGTGATTTATAAACTAGTAGAAGTACTTTGAAATGGATTATGTTGCTTACTAGTGACCAGTGTAGGGACCTTAGAACAGGAGTGATGTGCTCGGTTCTCCTGGTTCTTGTTAAGACTCTAGCACCAGCATTCTGCAGTTGCTTCACAGCTTTTTTGGGAAGACCAGTCAAAAGACCATTGCAATAATCCAGCCTACTGTAGATGAACACATGAATCAAAATCAGATTTATTGCCGTGTAGGTGAGAGGCTCATCTACTAGGAATTTGTTTCGATGGCAAGGTGCAAACATACATTCAAGTCAAAGTCAGGTTAGGCAGTATTTACATTAGGATACATCAAATAATCACAAAAGAAACACAGCCAGAATGCAATCATATGTGTAGGAATGTGGGTGACCGGGGCATTTCTGTGTGTTTTGGCTATTCATTGATTGTTCTAAAGCCTTACAGCAGAGGGGAAGAAGCTGTATTTGTGGCGTGAGGTTCTAGTCTGTAAGGACCTGAACCTCCTCCCTGATGGTTCAGTTCAATTCAAGTGTATTTACAAAGTGTCAAATCACGACCAGAGTCGTCTCAAGGACTTTCACAATGTTAACATTCCAGTACAGGTCAGTTCATTAAGCCAATCAGTAAAAAGTTTCCTATATAAGGAACCCAGCAAATTGCATCACTATACAGAAATCCTCATGCTAAGCAAGCATGCAGCGACTGTGGAGAGGAAAACTCCCTTTTATGTTTATGTTTATTCATTTCGCAGACGCTTTTATCCAAAGCGACGTACAAGTTTTTTTTTTTTTTATAACCTGTAGGGCATGTTGTGATGTGTGGGGGAAACCGGAGTACCCGGAGGAAACCCACGCATGCATGGGGAGAACACGCAACTCCACGCAGAAAGGCGAGTTTTGAACCTGCAACCTTTGTGCTGCGAGGCAACAGTGCTAACCACTGCACCACCATGCAGCCCTTTTAACAGGAAGAAACCTCCAGAGGATCCTGGCTCAGTATGAGCAGCCATCCACCACGACTCACTGGGGATGGAGAAGACAGAGCACACACACACACCTACACACACACACACACACACACACACACACACACACACAAAGAGAGTAAAATGTTATTATCAGGAGAGGGAGGATGTTTAAGTGGTTAGCAGCAGTGTGCTAGACGATGGCCCCCTCCATGAGGCCACCACAGCTCAGCAGAACATCGTTGTAGCTTCCTCTGGGGAGAAAAACACTTAGAGAAAAAATAAAGTTAACAGCTGAAATAGCAGGAAATAATACAGTTAAAGACCAGGAGTCTCATTTATCAAACATTGCGTAGAATCCTGACTAAAACTGTACTTAAGCTCAGCTAAAAAACGTACTTACGCCAAGCAGGTTTGTGATGTATCAAACATGGAGTACACACAGCTGCACGCAATCTCCGCTTCATAAATCAGAGACTAACGAGAATGTTTCTCAGCTGCATTTTAGTCACATCCCGCCCTCACCACGCCCACTTACTGCCATAAATGGTCGATGCAAAGTGCCTTGTGGATCTCATGCATATACATAAGCCGGCTGTTGCAGCGCTCCGCCAATGACATGGCGACCGTAGATCAAAGAAGCGCTATTTCACACAAGCAGAAGTTGAGGTACCTGTGGGTGAGGTGGAGAAATGAAAGGAAGTGCTTTTGCAAAACAAATAAGAGAAAATCCACGAAGTGGCACAGCGTTGCTGAAGCCGTCAATGTTGTGAATTCTTCAGAGAGATCTGTGGCGGATAAAAAAAAGGTCCGATCAGGATTCAATCCCCAGATTCCTGGGTGAAAGTCACACGCGCTAACCAGTCACCCAAACAGAGATCTCCACTGTACAGGTAGCCAGGGCACATGATCAATCAGATTACAGTCAGTGGCGGGTTTGGCATTTTGGGGGCCCAAGACGAACACAGACATGGGGCCCCTTACACTAAATTTTCAACAATCTTATCTTTAACTGGATTTGCGAAACTACCCTCTTCTGACATGAGTTATTTTCCCTTTTTATTATTCCTCCTCTTTTTTTCCTGTATTTCCCTCCCTTTGAGCGCTTTCAATATTTGCTCTGCTTTCCTTTCCTGTCAGTGTTCCTGTGTTTTTGCCTTTGTTTTTTTCCATTTTCCATTTTGGTCTATGTTTTCCTCCCTTTAAACATTTTCCATTGTCTTTCCTTTTCTGCTTCTTTTTGATGTTTACATTGAAAAACGACGTCACTTTTGGAAGTGAAAATAAAAGGTTTTTTGAAGCAAGCTGCTTCTTTCTCTTATTGGAGCCACTAGGACAACTCCATTTATGCTTAATGTTTTGACTACCGCTTCGAGTTTGTTACGAACGCTCGCGCCTCTCTTCTTCTTTTTCTGCTATCTTCTTCTTATTTGTGGTCTTATGGCACTTGGCAAACAACAAATTGGTGCTTTACTGCCACCAACTGGATTGGAGTGGAATGACTACCAATCACTTCCTGTTTGTGCAATAGGAATAGTCCATTGCGGCATTAACAGAGGGGTGCCAGCAGTCAGGGCAGGGGGGCTCCCCAACATAAGGGGGCCCCAGGTGGCTGCCGACCTATGCCCAATGGTAAAACCGCCACTGATTACAGTGACAGGACACACACTGTCACAGACGCATGACATTCTATCTCAATCTGTCCCCCTGCAGATATTCTGCATTTCGTATTCTGCGCTTCAGGCTGTGTGTGTGTGTGTGCATGTGTGTGTACACGCGTGCGTGTGTGTGTGGGGGGAGGGGGGGATCTTGTTCTGTGTGAAAACAAAGCGGTACAAGTGATAATGCTGCAGGATTTCATACTACTCAGCAGCAGCACTGCAGGTGCTCTCCATGTTCAACATGTGCGTAAGCCAGGTCCTTAGTCAACTTAAAGTTTCGTACATTTTTCCGCTAAGTTTTCCTTCATAAATCCTAAAGTTTGCGTGGAAAGTTGCTTATGCAGTTTTCCGACCCCGTTTTGTGCGTAAGCAAGCTTGATAAATGCGACCCAAAGAAAG